TTTTTTTTTGGGAAACCACCTCCAGAGGCTATGTAAGGATCATGCCACCTAACAATACAGTATCGTCTTCACCGTTAGTTGTCAACTAAAAGTTGCTAAAATACTGGGTCTGAAAAAGATACCTGCACATCTGATGCAAAAGGTTTTGTAGCTGAAGACTGATCACAGATACGCTGGAAGTGATACTTCGGGTCAGTGCCAGCAACCTCCAAAGCGATTTCGATAGACTGCAGAGTACCTTCAGTCCAGTAGCTTATGAATTTCCCATTAGAAATCTGAAAAAGCAAGTTTTTTAAACTTTATTACAATCACGATTCATTAGCTATCACTTCCAGACTGCAAGGTACCTCGACGTGGTCTCGAAGTAGTGACGCTTGGGGATGAGGTGGTGACGCCCAACATACCTTCATGTTAAATCTCCGATATGCTAAAGCCTTTTCAAATGCTTCTTTGAGTCGGTAGACTTTTTAAAAAGACAAAAGAAACGTCAGAATGTCCAGAGTGCTAACCAACCGGGATACAGTACTGACTAAAAGAACTATGAAATAAAAATTGATGGTAAATTTGTCAGTTATAGTACTAAAGAGCCTTTCAAATATGATTCAATGGCGAAACAGCCGTGGTTTCAAGTATCGAGTAGTTATTGCTTAAAATATGCAAAATTACGATGGCCAGTCGAAGATTATTGGGTAGCCATAATGTAAGTGATATTACTAGAATACTCCCTTCGGTGACACTATTTAATTTGTGAAATACCATTAGTCAGGAGCCCGGGGAAAATCAAATTTCTTTAAAGCTCCGGAAGTTTTAAAAATTCGCTTTAAATTTAGCCCAAGCCACTTAAAAGGATCCCGTGGCCCGATTCTTTTCCGATCTTATGATGCTACCGAAAAACTCAATCATACCTGTTCAAAATTTTCATTCAGCACCCAGCTAAATGAGCTTTTCTCGCCGTTCCACGTATTTGTTTGGGTTATCTTCAGCTCTGGTTCGTCGCAGTATGCGGTCGTAAGACATTTCGGGGTCCAGTCAACATTCAATATTTCGGTTGTAATCCAGAAATGAACAGTCGGGGGGTTGTTGACTGGGGTTTCTGGGGGGAGGGGTGAAATTGGCGCAGCATTGAACAGAGCTGGAGCCAAGCTGATAATGATAAAGGATAGGAAGAACATTTCTGAGACAGCCAGGAAATCAGTAGAGACGTGAAACAAGCACAGAAGTTAGGGCACGTGGAAAAGCAAATGATTACTGACCACTGGTTCCCGATGTCTTATATAGTGCCTGAGGATTGTTCACCACTCCCACGGTGCATTTTCCAACTTGGATTAGTGTGAAACAATTTTAGAAAAGAAACGTGTGAATGACCG